ATATATTATACATAAGGTGAAGCAGACACACTCAGGCGCATATATATAAATTATACGAAAAACTGGCTGTTGGAAAGACTTAAGTAAGGGGTGAGTGTCAGGCTGTGCAGGAAGTGGCTGAAAGCAGCTGGTACTGGGCAAACATAAGAGACCAGGAGGACACTGGGAGGTGGTGGGCAGGCACGAGGGGCCAGGAGCAAGGGGGCAGAGGGCAGGGAGTGTGCCCAGAGCTCTAGGTGGTAGGAAGCTTGGGTGGCCACATGTGGGATAGACAGTGAGGTCACAGTGGACGTTAGGAGACTGTGGTGTTGGTGTGATTATAATTGCTGGATGTACGGATAGGGAGTATACAACATGTCAGCATCCCTTCCTTCTCGTGACATATATTTAGCAGTAGCAATAACTCGTAATTCTCCTCTGTGAACACACGGGCACTGGAAATTTTTGTCTCAAAAGCACTAATACTAGAATCCCTCCAGAACAGCATCAGTACTGTTACACTAACCCTGCAGTTCCTTGGACGGCCTGGAGGTGGCAGAACAGGCAACAGCGCTGTTATCTCTGAAAGGAAGCTTAGACCAGAGGTTCTCAGCCTGAAGATCTGAACCTCTTTGGGGGTCACATATTCTGCATATCAGTTATTTACATTACGATTCATAACAGTAGCAAAAATACAGTTATGAAGTAGCAATGAAATTATTTTATGACATGAGGAAGGTTGAGAACACAGCACAGGCATGTGTGTTCTGAGGGGAAACCAGCCCCACTGTACATCGCTAGCCCCATCTACAACACCTGCCTATGGAACAAGAACAAACGTGCAGCGTCTCCATTTCACACACTCAGGCTAATGTTTACCCAGCACACTACCCAGACATGTGGCCCTTTCACACAATCCTTTGAAGGAACAGATTCCGGATGTACAAATCACAAAGGTCTCTGAATGGGGAGCAGTGAGGGCCAAACAAAAACAAAAGTCATGAAATAAAATTCTAATTCTTCTTCTTCTTCTTCTTCTTCTTCTTCTTCTTATTATTATTATTATTATTATTATTATTATTATTATTATTATTTGAGACAGGGTTTCTCTGTATAGTCCTGGAACTCACTCACTAGATCAGGCTGGGCCTGAACTCACAGAGATCTGCCTGCACCTGTCTCCAGAGTGCTGGGATTACTGATTGATTGATTGATTGTGTGTGTGTGTCACAAAGAGTACAGAAGTAGGAAGGCAATCTTTTTTCTTTCCACCATGTGAATTTTGGAGCTTGAACTCACGTTGTCGGGCTTGACAACAGGTACCTTTACTCACGGAGCTACCACTGGCCCAGACATTCTAATCATTTGTTGTTGCTTGCTTTTTGTTTGTTTTTGTTTTTTTGAGACAAGGTTTCTCTGTGGGACAGTCCTGGTTGCTAGCTGTCCTGGAACTCACTCTGTAGACCAGGTTGGCCTTCAACTCACAGAGATCTGCCTGCCTCTGCCTCCAAGTGCTGGGATTAAAGGTGTGAGCAACTGCTGCCCGGAGCTTGTGTATTTTTTTTGAGACAGGTTTCTCTGGGTAGCCCTGGCTGTCCTGAAATTTGCTCGGTAGACCAGGCTGATGTCAAACTCGAGATTCGCCTGCCTCTGCTAGGATTAAAGGCATGCACTACCACTACCTGGCTAACGTTCTAAATTTTTAAAATACAAAGCAGTAGTATCAACCCATTTCAGGGATTTTTCTTTTTTGTGCCTTGTGACAAAACACAACTAGACACTGTGCAGAATACAGTGACAACACACTCGCTCTCAGGTACATAACTGCTGAGGTCAGACCAGTGAGAGCTGTGAAGGGCACTGGATGAGACGTAGCTCAGTGGCAGAGTGCATGCCTGGCACAGGTAAGGCCTGTGTTCCACCTGGAGCATGGCAAACCCACCCTTCACACACATGCACCAACAAGGAGAGACAACTTTCCAGCAACTAAAATCAGGTCGAAAAAGAAAGAAAATTTACATTTCTAGTTGTGGAACAATGAAAGGAGAAACCCCTGTGTTAGAACGGGTTCTCACAACTATCTCACACTAAGCCCATGCAACCTGTGCAGGACAGGCACAGGAAGGAACCTGGCATCCATGGTTATAGTCCTCAGTTCCCCAACACTTTTCTCTTTCTCCCTGGTTTGTTTATTTGTTCTTGTTTTTCAGATGGGGTCTGACTCTGATCCAGGCTGGCATCTTACTAACAGCTCAGGCTGGCTTGGAACTGGAGATCCTTCTGTCTCAAACTGAGTGCCAGGTTACAGGTGTGTTGCCCTCTGCCTCTGGAAGCCATGGGAGAGAAATCACCAGCTGAGCTTCTCCACTTAGGAATCTCTGAATACAGAAAGTTTCTGAAAGACACCTGCTTGACTTTTGTTTTAAACAACTCAGAACCCCACACAGGGCAATCCCATGATAATCAATAGGACCCCCCCCCCCCCGTCAAGTCTGGTTAACTTACATGATGGTCTGGGGGTTCTGTAGCACGCAGGCCTTTGGTCCAAACGTGGTCACTGGGCATGGCCCATGGAGAGAGCGGGTCCTCCTGTGGAGCACAGTGGGGGTTAATGTCAAAGTAGGAGGGGACAGGCAGCAAGACAGACACGGGCTGTGTCAGGCCCTGTCAAAGTCCAAGAAACCCAAATGACATTAGCTCCATCAGCCACAGCATTCACATGGCAGGCCCAGAAGATCCTGCCCTGGTCCAGGATGCTATGTCAGAGCTCGCTGCTGCTCAGGTTTCCATGGCAGTAACGAGACATGGAAGCTGACCTGGACAAGCTCCTGTGGACACTGATCCCAAATCAAAGAAGGCACAAGTCCAATAAGGGACTGGCATGAGCCTCTCAGCAGGTCTGTGGGCTATAATCGGGAGTCAAAACCAGGCGCCACCCTCAATAATCTAGATGAACATTCTAGCAGAAGTATTTGCTCTAGAGCACATGTGTCTACAACACAGATACTAATTGAGCAACCAGCCTTCCCTCCTGAAAAGTGGCCCAGCCAGTTAAGCACGCAAACATGGGTTCACTGTGCCTGCCACAGCCAAGGACAGCAGCAGTCAGGGCTCCCTATGCTTCTGGGGGATCAGCACAAAGACCGAAACAGTATGGAGATTTCTCTTCTTGGGACACTGCACTCAGGTCTTGGGGTCTCACCAACCCTTCACAGCCCAAAGAGAACAACACTGAGTAACAAGAGCAGTCTCCAAACTTGCTTTCCCCTTCAGCTGCCTCCAAATCCACAAAACCTTCCAGTCCTGATGACGCAGATAAAAGATTGCTCTGTTTCTGGGGGATGGGCCACGTCCAGGGTCATGGAGCCTGGCCAGACTAGACAGCTGACAACTGGAGAGGAGTCGATTGGTTGCTGAAGACCTTTCTGGACTAAACAGGAGCTAGGGTTTTACATAAAGCCTTTCCCCTGTTATCCTCCTTTTTTCAAGTACGGCCTCCCTCTATAGCCCAGGCTGGCCTTAAACTCATGATCTTCCTGCCTCGGCCTTTTAAGTGCTAAGACTGCAAGTGTGGATCCCCAAGCCTGGGTTATTTATATAAGCCTTTAGAAAGTTATGCAGAATATCACAAATATCAACTTTTATAGGAACTTAAAGGCTACCAGGCAGGAAATTGAGGGCTGGTAGGAGTCAGCACTAGCAGTTCATCTATCCTCCTTGAAGGACAGATTGCATGGGAAAAGTTGTTTGTCCCCATACTGCCCGAGGGCATCAGCCACCAACGACAGAAGCTGCCCTGACCTATGGTCACTTTCACAGGCTCAACATTTCTGGAATAAAAAAATGCTACACACACACCAAAAAAACCCACACAAACCAGAAACTAAGGCAATTCTGCCCAAACCTGGCTGGGCACAGACAGTGGAGAAGGAACAGGCAGCACAGGGCACCACGATCATCTGCGCACCCAGAGCAGAGGTGCTGGCCACCTGGCCTCTGCTGGAGCCACCGCTCACAGAAAGAACTTTCTATACAGAAGCTGAAGCAGCTCCTTGTCCCTCCACTGCTACCGAGCAGGAGCTCTGAGAGATCATCTTTCTCACAGAAAAGACGCCATGACGTTAAAGTGGCTCCTCACTAGAAAGCCTGCCTGCACAGCTCACAGGTCTCTGGCAAGCTCCATAACACAGTTATTGTCACCATGAGTGAGAACACCTCCTGATGTCAGTGGAACCCCATGTTTGTCAGGTGATCTTCCTTTCCTTGAGGCTTTATGCCACAGCAGAGGAAGGCAGCGCCCCACGACCCGCCCATGAGACCCGAGGGCCCTGGTTGCAGCGGCGCCCCTGCTCCAGCAGCACCTAAGTCTTTTACTGAGCACAACCAGGACTTTTCTCAGCTCACCCTCAAGTCAGCATGACTCTGGATGGGTGGTTCTGTGCTGAGGCAGAAAAGAAAACACAGTGCAGCCTATACTTGGCACATATTAGTTGCTAACAAGTGCCCAGCATAAGTCTCCCTCTAAGGTCAACATTGCTTGGGCAGTGCCCAGCCCCACCCTATGGACAAAACTCACATTAAGCAATGCTGATTCACACTGACACAGGCCGTGTCCTGTCAGGATCTAACATGTCCCATCATAGCACGAGAGGAGAGGGGACTCCTGGTCCTACCTGAACTCCTTGGTGCTGCCCAGGGCAGGCGAGGCTGATAGGCTTCGAGACTTGGCCCGTCCCCTGATAGGATGGTTGTAGCTCCAAGTCTCATCCCCATGACAAGCTGAGCAGTGGTAGGAGGCTGAGTCAGGGCTCAACTCCTTACTCACACTCATCTTCTCTTGTTCCATTTTCACAGTCGATGGAGAAAACACTGACGCCTTAATTGATAAAATAAAGAAAGTCAATGCACGCGAGCAGCATCCAGAAAAGGTAGGATGTGGTTATCTGAACCACTGTGGTTACCTGCCAAGGCTCCCAGGGACCCTCAGGACATTCCTTGTGGAGGAGTGAGGGGCGGAGGGGGCTTGAAGCCCCTCCCTTCCCTGAAGGTATAAGCAGCAAACACTGCTGGGAAAAGACTCTACTGATACAGCTGAGTCACCCAGGCTCCTGTAAGTAACCTCAGTAAATTCACTGCTGGACTTGGGACCACTTTTCTATCTGGATGAACAGATAACAGACTCCCTAAGGAAAGTCACATGCAACAGCACAGAAACTGCCAGGTTTCCATTTTCCAAAGTTCTTCAAAATATGCTACCTTTGCCCTAGAGTTAAGAACTCAATCCTTGGCATTTATCCTCAGTGCGAGAGACTGCATCCAGGGCCGCACACTCCAGCTAAGTGCTCTGTGACTACCACGTGTCTTCAACCCTCACTGGTGTTTCTGAATCCACCTGAAGATAGCGGAGAGTGAGGACAAAATAACCAAGACAGTTGTAGGGTTTCCATCACAAGCTGGAAGGGTGGACACAGCACCACATAGCAGCCCTGTGGTGTGGGTAGCAGCATAGAGGATGTTTCAGTCCCTAACAGCTGAAGAAAAGCAGGAATGCACTGGGCTGCACCCCTAAAAAGTCTAGGGTCAGTCCAGTAACAATCAAAGTCATCAGAACTCAACTGTGACAATCCTCAAAGGAAGCTTCATATCCCAAATGTCATGAAAGTACACAGTTCTGATGCCATGGCTCAGGAAAATCAAGAAGACGGAGGAAGCAAAAAGGTCCCTCTCCTCCTGGAGTTTTGACACATTTTCCCAGCCTGCTTGGGGTCAAAGCCAGCATGGGATGCCACATGGGCAGGCAACATCCAGATGGTGAAACTGGGCAAACACGAAGTTTATTTACTCCCCCCTAGAACCAAACTGGATTTTCTGAGGCTGAGTGGTGGTGAACTAATAGAAGTGGAAACAGAATCAAAGCAGCTAGCCTGCTGCTGGTGAGTCCAGGCCAGCCTGGGCTACAGTTAGACTCCTGTGTCTAAAACAATGCAACAGGGAAGGCTAGGCATGGGAACAAGAGCCCATGAAGCCAGGAGGCGGAGGCAGGAGGATGTCTGAGGTCAGCCTGATCTACAGAGAGACTTCTAGGCCAGCCAAGAGTTGCAAAACAAAGACAACAAAGAAAACGAGCAGAGACAAAGCGGAGCTTTGTGAAGATCCCAGTGCAGACAGGGCTACATTTTATCTGCCTCAGACACAAACTAAACACAAAGAAGAGCGGAACTGAGTCTGGCGAGAAAGCATAACAAACTAGTTTTGGTAAGTGACTGAAAAAACTGGGCCTTGTTTCTTTTCTGGGGTGGATTTATTGGGCTTGCATATCCATACCCAGTTCCCAGGCCATCGCCGAGGGAGGTCATGGTAAAAGCCTGTAGAAACCATGAAGAAAATCTGCTCATTGACTTGCTCCTGTGCTCAGCAGCTTCCTTATGTAACCACCTAGGAGCACCCAGGGCATAGTCCCACCCACAATGGCTGATGAGTCATTTGAGACAAGGCTGTGTCAGGTTGATATTAACTAGGATACACCGATAACATTTGGGGGGGAGTACTTTTGTGTTGTAATAAGAGCGGTGGGGCTGCGTCCCCAGCACCCCGGCTGCCTGGCTAGCTTATGCCCCGAAATAACACACAAACTGTATTCTTTTATGCACTGCTTGGCCCATTAGTTTCAACCTCTTAACCCATTTCTAATAATCTATGTAACACCACGAGGTGCGCTTACCAGGAAGATTCTAGCCTACATCCATCCTGGGTCGGAGTTCAATAGTGTCTGCCTCAGAGCAGAGCTATCGCGTCTGCCCAGCTAACTCAGTCGGTAGAGCATGAGACTCTTAATCTCAGGGTCGTGGGTTCGAGCCCCACTTTAATGTAAGGGTGTAAACGAATGCAGACAGCTTTAATGGGGAAATAGACTTACAGAACCACCTTCTGCAGAGACCAGGAAAGCAGAAGCAGTGTCTGGGAGCACGCTCGCCAAATTTATATGCAAACATTAGCCCAAGGCGAACACGCCTCCTAAGGGGCGGGACTTATCCCTACACTTTTGAGATAGGCCTCATGTAGGCTGACCTCATACATCACTATGGTCCCCCCCAACCCGAGACAGGGTTCCTCTGTAGCTTTGGAGCCTGTCCTGGAACTAGCTTTGTGGACCAGGCTGGCCTTGAACTCACAGAGACCCGCCTGCCTCTGCCTCCAGAGTGCTGGGATTAAATGTGTGCACCACCACCACCTGGCAAATTTATTTACTTTTTATGTACGTAAATGGGTTTTTCAAGTTTCTCTGTGTAGCTCTGGCTGTCCCAAAACTCTGCCAACCACCTCTGCAGTGGTAGGATTACAAGCGTGAGCCACCAAGGCCAGGCTCAGATTTTTTATTTTTTTTTATTTTTTTAAAAATATTTATTTATGGGCTGGAGAGATGGCTCAGTGGTTAAGAGCACTGTCTGCTCTTCCAGAGGTCCTGAGTTCAATTCCCAGCAACCACATGGTGGCTCCAAACCATCTGTAAAGAGATCTGGCGCCCTCCTCTGGCATGTGGGTATAAATGTGAGCCACCATGTGGTTGCTGGGAATTGAACTCAGGACCTTCAGAAGAGCAGGCAATGTTCTTGACGACTGAGCCATCTCTCCAGCCCCTTTAATTTTTTTTTAATTAGGTGAATATGCTGCATGTCTGCGTGGTAAATGCACGTCCATGTGGTACATGTGCAGGTGCCTAGAGAAGCCAGGAGTTGGATTCCCTAGAGCTGTAGTTACAGGTGATTATAAGCTGCCTGATATGGATGCTGGGAACCAAATTCTGGTCCTCTACAAGAGCAGTATTTGCTCTTAACTGCTGAGGCATTTCTTGATATAGGAGATTATAAAGAACCTTCAGAGAGCCTGGCATAGTGTTACATGGCAGAAATCCCAGCACTAAGGAACTAAGGCAGAATAGGAGAACCATGAGTTCAAGATCAGCCTGCTTTACATAGGAGACTATAAAAACAAAACAAAAAACCCTCAACCTCCAGAAAGGACTGTGAAGAAGAGGACAGTAGCCACAGTGCCATGATTTTAGACACTGTGGTCAATGACAAGCCATACCTACTGCCCTGCCTCAGGAAGCCTGCAATGGGGCAAAACACAAAACAACAACGTAAACATCACAGCTTCATGCTTAGAACACTGATATAACAATGTCATGGATAGGGCTGGAGAGATGGCTCAGCTGTTAAGAGCATTGTCTGCTCTTCCAGAGGTCCTGAGTTCAATTCCCAGCAACCACATGGTGGCTCACAACCATCTGTAATGAGGTCTGGTGCCCTCTTCTGGCCTGCAGGCATACACACAGACAGAATATTATATACATAATAAATAAATATTTTAAAAAAATGTCATGGATAACATGTGCTACAAGCACGCACTCAAAACAATCCATCCCTAAAAAGTGAACCCCTGTACAGCAAATAGAGAACAGAATATTTGGTGTCAAAAACCAAATATTGCCATCAAAAAAGAGAAGTATCAGGCCTGGTGACAAACACCTTTAATAGAGCTCTCAGGAGGCAGAGGTAGAAGGACCTCTGAGTTTAAGGCCAGTTTGGTCTACATAGAAAAACCCTGTCAAAAGAAAAGAAGGAATAGCCGGGCGGTGGTGGCGCACGCCTTTAATCCCAGCACTCGGGAGGCAGAGGCAGGCGGATCTCTGTGAGTTCGAGACCAGCCTGGTCTACAGAGCTAGTTCCAGGACAGGCTCCAAAGCCACAGAGAAACCCTGTCTCAAAAACAAAAACAAAACAACAACAAAAAAAGAAAAAGAAAAAAAAAGAAAAGGAAGGGAAGGAAGGAGAAAGGAAGACAGTGTAGACCACAGATGAAGTAGTGTGTGATCTAAATGCTTCTCTTTTGCACTAGCAGTACTGGAGACTGAACCCAGGACCTCACTCATGCTAGGCAAATGCTCTACCACTGAGCTGGTACCCCAAGTTGTTTTACTTTAAGACACAGTCTCTCTGTTACTCACACAGGCCTTGAACTTGTGATCCTCCTTCCTCAGCCTCCAAAGTAGCTGGGATAATGAAGGCATAAGTCATGAACAATGCCACACCAGTTTGGAGTTATGATTAATAGGGTGTTATTTATTTAAAGGGGAAAAAACTTACAGATCACCATCCCAGACAACAGCCATCTGCACAACCAGGAAGGGAGTCTAGTCTCCGGCGGAGCAGGAAGTGAAGAGAGAGAGCAGAGGAAGTAGCCACTTTTTTAAAGGGAGAGAAACCACGCCCCAATGGGCTGGTATCTCAGCAGCTATTGGTTGGAGGGGCGGAAGGACCTCCCGCAACACCTCCCCCTTGTGTTTAAGTAAGAGAGTTCTAAACCTACTACGAAATTATATACAATAAGTACAAATATCCTATTCTAACTAGCTTAGGTCTTGTATAATAAATAACTTGGCCAAGTCGTGAGAGAAAAGTAACTACATTTATATAGTCTTCAACCCCATCAAAGATCTGAGAAGGGAAATAATGTTACCTGGGTAATTAGGAAGTTCAGTAAAACAACTTCCAAAACATGCAACAAATCACAGAGACAACTAGCTACCTGGGCAATCACCCAAAGTCATGTTTGCAGCGTTGAAGCAACCAACTTTGGCTAAGGCCTAACATAACTGACATACCATTTTCAAAGGCAAGCAACTTTTCAAAACTATCTTACCCTGTCTTGGCAGGATATGACAGTCCTGTTTTATTTATTGATGCACGCTCTGTATCTCTGTCAGTTGTTGAGGTATGGGCATTTCTTTGCCCCAAGGCCAGTTCTGCCAAAAAGAAAGGCTCCAGGTGGAGTGTCTTTGGTGCTCAACATTCTCTCGGGAATAGAGCGGTGTTG